CTCGCATGGTTTGTCATTTTTTCTTGTAATCATTCCATGATGGTGACAAAAACTTTACCTAATGCTGATACTTGGCAAGTCACCCTTAAGGAAAATGACAGAATTCTGAGGGAATGACGACAGGACATTGAGTGCAAAGTCATGGACCACATGATTTCCACTTTGGTTGCACTGGTGGAAATTTACTTGCTGAATAGAAGAGAAAGAATATATCAGTTTATGAAAACAATATGTAAATGTGTACACATACGACTAATGCTGACAATAGCGAATTCAAATGATGCACAACAGTAACAAAAACTATCTAACTAAGGCTCCGTTCACATGAAAAATCTATTTTCTAAAAATCTATTTGCGGTATCTTGTGATCACGGTCTGTGCCCTGAATACCCTACGGTGTAATTACTGGCAGCACCGAGAATTAATTACAGCTTTGGAAGAAACTGGCTCGCGCTGCCCGTAATTACACCGTAGGGTATTCAGGGCACAGACCGTGATCACAAGATACCGCAAATAGATTTTTAGAAAATAGATTTTTCATGTGAACGGTCCCTTACAGTCAAAAAAGAAAGAAAAAACTATCTTCAGTATTTTTCATTAGAAGGACATTCAGGAAGAAGGAACTAGACTTTTTTCAGCTCTGTGATGTATTAATACTTACTAGTTGAGTCAGAGCCACAGCTATGCTTATTATGAAGGCCCCAGAGGTACTGACTGTGTTCATGGGGGGCAACTTTGATGACAGGTATCTGAAGAGTACATACAGTAATTTTGATGCCAACTTTTGAAGCTGGAATAATGACTTTGAATGAATCTAATTTTTCATAAAATCTTAATATTGGAGTGCATTAAAACAAAAGAACATGCCTCTTTGTAAAATTAATTTCATTTTTTGTTCTGTTGGCAAATGGACAAGATTTCATTATTCTAAATTCTTCTAATTCACATTCTTACATCAGAAGTACCTATTTATATAATGAGACAAAAATTAGGTGACGGATTTTGGTTAATCTCTTCACTCTTCAGTGAAATGAGTTTCTTTCTTTTTATATCTCATTGATAATAACCTATTACTATTAATATTACTTACGAGGTAATAGTATTAAAACCAACTCCAGCCAGTACTGCAAGCACCACATCAGTCTGCAGCCAGAACCTCTCCACCTTTAATACAGAGTAAAGGCTTTACAAATATCTTATTAATGTGCAACCAGAACTTCTATACCAGTTACACAGAGGAGATTACTCACACATACAGTCAACAGTCTAGTATTGTAGAACAACAACCTGCCTTAAAATCACAAATGGAAAAAAACTAAATCTGTAATCCTTGTACTGTAACTGAACCACATAAAAGCTATAAATATGCAGAAAAATATAACAGACAGATATAAGAACTATGAAAAAAATATTGTGAATAAAGCAGCGTGCACGTGTAAACTCACCACTCCTTTAAATAACGGGTTAGCGAGATTGAGGTTTGCTCTCCAAGCAAAGAACAAAGTGTAACAGAGTGACATTAGGAAGAACGTTAACACAGAGCCTCCTTCATTTTTCCAAGCCCTGAAAGAAGTAAAAACAACCATTAATTAGAAAGTTAATTTCCCCCAGTAGAGTCTAGTAACATTTTTTAGTAAAGAGATGATTTCATCTGTATGATAATGGTATCAAATACATGGTGATATTCAAAGAGTATTTGATTGGATGTTTTGGGGTCTTTAAGTTCACCTATCTATTATAAATACTAAAATAACTCGATATAAAGTATATATTACTTGCTTACCTCTTAAATGAAACAACAATTCCAACCAAAGCAAGAGTTGGCCCAATATATAGAAAAGATGTGATTGTATGATCTAAATAGAAACTGTAACAAAGCAAAAATCAAGGATAAATTTTTTTCATTAACTGCATACAACATTTACTGTATGTAACCTTGAATAATTTTCATACAAAGAAAATAAAACTAGCACAGTGATATAATGTAATGAAACAGTGCAAATATCAAATACTAATCTCTCACAACTTTTGAAAAAAAAAACACACTTTACATTCTCAAAAAGAAGCTTAGTCCTTCACACTGATGAGTGATACACGAAAGGATGTAGACTAATTAAAATGCCAAGCTGAAACTCAACATTACCTTAAAAATGTGTACATATCACTTCCAACTTGATCTTTACCCTGCAACAGGTAGACAAACATCAATGAAAATGTGCTTCCACAGTGATGAAGAGTTCACACCATTATATACAATTACATCAAATAAAGAAAAGAGCATTTGCCATGATAATCACCTGCAACAAATCAGTATTCTACCCTAAATAGTGATATCTCATTTATCTTTTTCTATAGAAACCAAGCACAAGTAACATGCTGTCCCTATAAATTCGTCATTTTGATACAAGCTATAATTCACAACCCTCTTACTTCAGTACTCACCAAATCAAATGTCCCATATTCCTGCCTGAGAAGATGTCTAACAAAGCCGCCCCAAGTTCTCTGGTCTCCCCAGGTATACCGCGCTGTGTTCCAGTATGCTGATAGCGGTAGGTAGATATATGGCAGCAAACCCAAGAGGAAACCAACACCAAGTTTGACACACAGGATCAAAGACAGCAGCTAGAACAGGGCAAAATTATCAGCAATGAATTAAATGATATGTTTTATGTCATTGTTTTATTTTACATTATAAAGAGTAAATTATCAATGCTGAATATAAAAGTATGTTTTATGATTTTATCTCTAAAGAGATGAAAAAATTAAGCATGACAATGAAAATAACTGGAGCTATGACTGCAGTAACAAAAAAAAAAAAAAAAAAAAAAAACTCTTTTCTATATTATTATTTTTTGAAGTACTTTACCTTGTAAGATGCTAGGCTGTACATAACCCAGAAAACTATTAACATTACGTACACAGCAATTGTATGTTGATTGCATAGTGATAGTCCACAGACAAAGGCACCCACAACTGCAACCTGATAAAATAATAATAATTCTCATACGACATTACCTTGATTCTAACTAGAAACTAGCTTACAAGCCAGCATGCCTGTATCTGATAGAATCTGCACTGCTTATACTTAACTTTGGATCTTGACATAAATTGAACCAGTGCGGTATGAGAAAAGAGAATATTAATACTGACACATTCTATCTAACCTTTGGTTTGAGTTGCACTGGACTTTGTTCAAACTGAACTGACAGCAGCATCAGGAGTGCTATGAAGAAATTGTTGAGACTAAAAACCTCTGCTGTTGTAGCCCAACTCCAAGTCAATGGGCTGAGGGCAAACAGTCCTGCTGACAATATGGCCGCCGGGTGAGAACGAGTTAACCTGGGAGAAATAAACAAATGTCCATGGAATAATTAATTCTTTTTTTTTTTTACCTAATATCCAGAATTAAACTAGAGGATCAGAGAGGCGATACCGCCTCCGAATATTGTACCACCAGCTGGAGCAAGCGCCTTCGTATAGACCCCCACATACACAAAATAAGGGACATAGCCACCAGTTTTGTGCTTGACAAGCTGTAAAAATGCAATCAACAAGAATTTTTAAACTATTGCAAAAAATATATATGGTACAATCAAATTTAAGTTCTTCGTAAGGTAGGTCAAGGGTCAATTTCAAGTTCACAGTAAATTGCCAGTATATGACTTCCTATTCAAGTTCAAGAGTAACTATGGACCTATCTCTGTCAAGTTTGAAGTTAAAAGAGAAAGAAATTAGCAGAGTTCAGTTCATGATAAAAAGTAGGTCAAAGGTCAATTTCAAGGTCACATTTAGATTGCCAGTATATGACTTTCTATTCAAGTTCAATAGTAACTATGGACCTATCTCTGCCAGTTTTGGAGATAAAAGGGAAGCAAAATTTGCAAA